TTTGTTTTGGACCCTTTAAGGAAAGCAGTATTAGCTTTAGAGTCAAGATCAGCCACACTTTCTGACTGTTTTTTAAATTCAGTATGATTGGCAGCAGTTTTAAAAAAATCACCAAAATCATTCAATCAAACATTCTGTAATCATTGCTTTAAAGTAATGAATGAAAGATTCAAAGAGTTTGATGATGACAAGTACCTTACATGCTTTTTTTTAGATCCCCATTTTAAAATACACCCCTCAAAAAAGGAGCATATGCAAAGGTTGTCAAATGTGCAATGACAATTGGGAAAAGGTTAGGATTTGACCTCCATGAGTCAAAAATTTTATGTGAGCAGTTACGAAGATATAAGGATCATGAAGAGCCATTTGACCTTGATATTGTCTGCTGTTCAGAAGACCCTAGAAGCTGGTGGAATCTTATTGACACAGATTCACAACCAGATACTCTTCCAACACTAGCACGTCATCTGTTTTCAATATGCCCAAATTCTGCAAGTTGTGAACGTGGGTTTTCTATGCTTGGATGGTTGTTTCATAAACGACGTTTGAATCTCAATTTACAACGACTAGAATCCATGTCTAAAATGATCATGTACTGGAAATCAAATGCAAAGACGGAACTTGGATTTTATGGATTAAATAATAAGAAGAAAACTCGTCTAAGTGACACTGAAATAAATATATCTATTTCAGAAGCATTTGCTGAGACAGATGATAATGACAATGAAAGTGAAGGTGAAGGCGAGACTTCCTTTTTCATAAATAATGAAACAATACCTGAAGATAATTGTATTGTTTTGATTGAAAACGTATGGATTGAAAAATTTGTGGATCTGTCGCATGATTTAATAATCAAGGAAATTGGCAATATCCCAGAAGATGTATTAGATGATTATGACAATAGTGATATTGATGAATATGAAAATGTCAATATGACCAATGAGGGTGAAAAAGGGATTTTAGATTACAATATAGATGACTTATTAGGTGAATTTCTTACTGAAGAGGTGTAAATATAATTTTTTTTTTTTCAAAATTCACGTTCATTATACATAAATTTATGTATATATATGTATATATATATATATATAAAGCATTTTAATAGAAAACAATATGACTATAGATTTTTGGGATAAATTTAATTTGTTTTTTTGTTGTGTAAATATTTTTATTTTTTTGCATTGTTTAATTTATCAATGTATTTGAATAAAAAATAAAATATTATTGATTTCATATATATTTGGGTTTTTTTGGATTATTTAATAATCTAATTAATTTACAATTGTGCAGTACAATTTTTACATATTATATAATTGAATCTGGTAGATGGCAGTTTGTTTTGGTATTTCAGCAGTTTTGATATTTCAGCAGTTTTGAATTTTTGACATTTTTGACATTTTTAGCATTTTTGACATTTTTGACATTTTTGGCATTTTCAACATTTTTGGCATTTTTGATCAGTTTCGGCATTTTTTGTCAGTTTCAGCACTTTCGGCACTTTCAGCATTTCAGCATTTTGGCATTTTGGCACTTTTGGCACTTTTGGCATTTTCAACATTTTTGGCATTTTTGATCAGTTTCGGCATTTTTTTGTCAGTTTTGGCACTTTTGGCATTTTTGGCACTTTTGGCATTTTGGCATTTCAGCACTATGTAGGAGGTTTTACCTTTCAGCATCAGGCTAAACAGATTTTGACAGGCAACCTTAATCATGGATAGAGATAATATTAATAATAATAAAAAAAATAAGAAAGGTAGCTCTTCTACCTCCACTTCAAACGAACGAAGATGGTTACGCCGGCAAGTAAGATTGTATCAACGACAACAGCAGCAGCAACAGCAACAACAACAACAAAGAGAAAGGGAACGAGAAAGAGAAAGAGATCAAGAAAGGGAACGTTATCATCAAAATCACCAGCACCATCATATTAATATTTATTATTATTTAAATAATAATAATTATAACTACCACAATAGTGGCAACAATACAAACAACAACAACAACAATGATAACCATGGTAATAATAATACTAATAACAACTACAATAATAATCATCATGATGGTGATGATGATAATGATGAAAATATGATGGACCTTGATTAAAATTTTTTTTTGATTTTGATTTTATTTATGTAAATAAATAATAAATAAATAAACAAATAAACAAATATTTTATTACCATTGTTCTTATTATCATATAAATTTTAAATCAGAATGACTGCATGGGAGGAAAATACTCTGCCCCAAAGCTTTATGAGTATACCTGTATCTTTGATCATTCTAGAAGTTGCATAATTTTGTGGAGCGGACTAATTACCTTTGTCAAAGCACTGAGCCATCATCTACTAGAGAATGATGATTATGGCTACGGTGGGTTCCATAACTTGCAGAAGCAAACTCGTGACAAATAACTCAGGTAATTCTCCTATCATCACAAAGGCAACTCCACAAGAAAAAGTATTTGCTACATTATAGCTATTAAAAATTGGAGTTTTACAACATATATTAATTATTAATTAATATTAGATTTTAAAAAATATATATTTTTAATAAAATTTCTTACATAGTAATAATTGTGTAATGCGTTATATTTTCTCATCTAAATATTAATAACACATTAAGTAAACCTTTATGAATGATATAGGATAAATTTTTTTACATAGTTGTGTAATGCATTGTTAAATTTGAGTATCTTACCATATAAATTAAATGACATGTTAAGTAAACCTTTATGAATGATATAGAATAAATTTTTTTCACAGCGTTATTAAATTTGAGCATCTTACCATATAAATTAAACAAAATATTAATGATTAAGTAGCATTACTTATATGCAAAAATAATAAAATTTACAATAAATTTTCTTACATAGTTCTTAAGTTCAAATATCAGTATCCTCTTGTCTAAAATTAAACAAAACATTAATAAACAATCAAAAAGAAAAGGTTGTCCATGGAAAGTAAATATCAGAAATTCAAAAACTCAAGGAATCGATATAACTAAAATTGAAAATACACATAATCACCAAATTACTCAAAATGAAATTGAATATTATTCATACAAGTTGGTGGATAAAGAAATTTGGGATGAAATTGAACTTTATGTTGGCCAAAAACTTGGTTTGCCTCAAATAAGAGGTATTC